ATAGCTCATATTTAGACCAAAACTTTACGATCTGCTAAACTATATGTTTTTCATTTTAGAATGCCGAGAAAAACACCAAAATATGTTCCTCAAGGAAAAAGACAGTTTTGGAACCCGGAAGATATGGAAAAAGCTGTGACAGCGGTAAGAGAAAACAAAATGGGCACTTTAAAAGCGGCAAAGACTTTCCACGTACCTCGTAGCACAGTTCAACGGCTGTCTAAAAAGGAAAATCTATCTCCTGCTCAAGTAGCACGCTCAAAATTAGGTAGAAAAACGTTTCTGCCAGATAAAATGGAGGAAGAACAACCTGACACTGAAGATGCAGAGTGTCTATTTTGCAGCAGACTTTATTCTGAAGATACCCAAGGAGAGGTTTGGGTAAAGTNGTCGAATGTTCTTGTTAGTATGATGATGTCGCCTAAGTAAACCAAACAGATTTTCCAGTTTAGTCCTTGCAATAGTGTCCATGAATTTTTCGAATATAGCAGCTGCATTGCATAATCCAATAGGCAGTATATTGAGCAATCTTCTCCATATCCTACAAATGCCCATCCACTTACCAGTATCCACTTTTCAAATCGAAAGTAGAGAACTATTTAACTCCAGCTAGACTGTCTAGTGTTGTCGATTCGGAGTAATAGGTAACTGTCCTTCGTTACATCGTTCAGCTTCCTCTAGTGCTTCCATTTTCTGTTTCATTTCTTCTTGTTCTACTTCTTGACCATTTTCCATTTTTATCATTTCTACCATCATTGCCATTAAAGCCATTATTTGTTGCTCTATTTTGCTTTGGTACCTGTGGTTGTAAGAAGCACGAAATATTTCAATTTCTTGTAGAAATTTCTGTGAAATTCTTCGAATTTGGAAAAATCATTCTTCTTTCTTCGCTAGCTTTCGAATAATGTATGACTTATTGGATGAAATTTTGACGTTAGATTCGTTCTTCTCTCTTTTCAACAATATATGATTTATTGAGATTATTTGGGAAAATACTTCCTCCCTCTTCTTCAATCATCTTCAACCACACCTGACACCAAACGTTGCGTGATCAAACACCTTTCTCACTATTGACTTATTATTTACTCTCTGATTAACACCACTATAATTAATTAGTTTCTATTTCACTACCATATCATACACTTATCACTTCTTCGCTCTTATAATTTTGCTTTATATCGCCTCGTTGCTAAAACTCGAAGTAACTCTTTCGACCTCACGGCAGCTATTTATAGGGGTTGGACGTGTTCTAAAAAGATCCAGAATGTGACATCTAGAAAAACCGGTCTTCTTTGTTACTGTGTATGTTGGGTTGCCTACAGGTGACAGTATATTTAGTTTATGAAGGTCAAACATTTAGGATATGAAGGCCTAATATCCGTCATCGCGGTACAAAAACGTTGCGCACACACAGTCTACCTACCACTGCTGTAACGGCCTTACGAAAATAACAGTCTAAATTTATTACAGAAAACTACATGAATTTTCTATTTACAAAATTGACGACTCAGTCAACACCAAGAAATGAGAAGCTACAATTTCATAAAAGCAGCCTAAATCGCTGTTGTAATACGTATTTTTTAAGGACTTCGCAATCGATTTATTTGAATTGACAATGATAAACGTATGAAAAGATGTTACCACAATTTTTTTGAAACAGGGTATTTACAGTTAATAACACGTTTTTAGCAGTTTTTAGTTATATCATGACACTAACCGAAGTCTAAAGTATACAAGAATAGAAAATTAAAATTCTAACAAAATTGAACAAAGAAACTTGACGGTAGTCCTTTGAGAGGCTAACTTGATAAATATAAATAGAAACGAGGGTATAGGGGATCAACTGAAATTTTTATGTCACTATTTGTTACTCTTGATTTTCTACACCAACTAGGTGAAATTTATAAAGAAATTTTGTAAACATTTCTTTTTGAAGTGAAACTTCTTTACGGTAGGGTAAGTAGGGTAACGAAATCATGGAACGGATGTCCCCACCTCTACTCGGCCACGTAGTCGAGTTCGTAGTGAAGATCGCTTGAGCCGTGAGCGCGCTTCAATGCAACGTTCGTTACAGGCAACTCCGGCATGTATATGTGTTTGCGTACGTGTGCCTACACTCTACAGTCGAAACGACGTCACTGACGCCAATTCCTTAACCCCTATCTCGGTATGCTTGTGTGTTTGAAGAAGTTCTACTTTAGTGGCGTGTTGTATAATTACACGTTGTATTTCTTTATTATTGTATTGAATATCGCATGCAAGCCGAAAAAAATATAAACTGAACTGGTTCAAAAGAAGATTCTATTATTACATGATTTACGATTAGTAAATTTTAGGGCACAATGTTTAATGAACTAAAAGTGCATAACACTGACGATAAGAGCAAAAGATTAGGCCGCGGTTTGATAAACATACGCCAGTCATATAGTTCAGTTTTCCTATTAATCTACGGTACAGTCATTTTTTCACCGAGCGACATGCCCTATAGGTTTAGACTATTACTTAGCATTCAGGAGGACGCCGGTTCGATCCCGGGTCCGTTTGTCTTGGTTTCTGTGGATTCCTTGGATCACTAAGGCAAATGCTGTAATATTCCACAGATAATCTTTCATTCTCTTCTGTCTTCATTTCATCCGTCTCATCTTTCTCACCCAAATCACCCCCCCACCCATTCCCACGATTCCCGAAAGGAGGCTGAACAGGGTCTTCCGCCCTACCTTGGCTTAGTCAGGAGAGACTGCCCGCCCACCAGCATTATAGGCTGGTGGGAATGAAACACCCAAGCTTTTTTTTATTTTCTCCAAATTGCTAACCTCGAAACTTCATGAGTGGCTTCACTTTAATGTAAATTACAACTATTTTACCTTAATTAATAACGAGTTAATGGTATTCTTGACGACGATAGGCGTCATTTGTAAGATCCGCCCTCATTACGGACGCAAAATAACACATTTCCAAGTACAGCGAGCATAGGCAAATGTGGCATCCTTCTAGTTTAGTTTGATAAAAATTAATAAAAAGGTTGACATACAAAAATTTTGGTCCGCGTAGCATGGCATCGGAGTGGATAAACATTATTTTTCCAAGATAAACTTGGAGGGGGAAAAGAATATGAGTCGGAGAAATGAGGAATACATTGGAAAACACTAAAAAACAACTTGGTTGGAGGGAGTGGAGGTCAAAATTCTGACGGGATATGGCTAGTTCTATTTATCAAAAGAAGTACTTTGATCGTAATTGATTACTTTGTATTAATAGTTTCTAGTACAGTCAAATAAGACGAAAAAAGGGCCAAACCTCGGAATGGAAGCGAATAACCTGTAAATTTGCATAAACCTATGTTTTGGTGTTCTAATGACTGGTAGAAAAGTCTCATACAATCACGTGTCTGTGTCACAAGTTATTCAAGGTTAAAGGTCACGAAAATTAGTTTTTCGCAATTATCTCGTTTTCTATGAGAAATACGCCAATTAATGTTATTATGAAATTTGTCGGTCATAAAATTGTCTACAATTTTTATTTCAAACATTTTTCTGTATCACCTACCGTTTCCGAGATATAGCGCGGAGAGCGGCGGGCGTGCACCCGTACANATTTGGAAGCCTAACTTAAAACACATGGCCATAGGCCGTAAACAAAAAAAAAACGCATTTCACGCATCAGTTCCTTCTTTGTTCTTTGCTATATTTTGAAAATTTTTGTCTTTCGTTGATTGCAATAATAGATAATTTTCATAGTATTTCTTCACTTCCAACCGTTCACTCGTGCAGTTTCAATACATGCAGCAAGTGCCAATTGTCAGATACGGAATTCATGCGACTGATTGACGAAAAAATGCATTACTTGAATTTTTAATAAAACACGGAGTTGTGTCGTGCCATACTCTGTGCGCAAAGTGCAACAAAAGATTGAACTTAAAACAAGTTGGGAACCAGTGGCGATACGACTGCCGACGCCTGTCGTACAAAGGGAACCGCCGCTGACAATGCAATCATTCGCGAATACCCATTGTTCAGGCGTGCACGTTGGTAACCATTTATCTTTCCCGAAATGCCTCCCGAGTCGATTATGCCCATCGAGAGACTGGCGTTTCAACGAGAACTGTGGTGGATTGGTTCTCGTTCATAAGGGTGGTTCTTATCGACTGGGTGCATCGTCCATCGGAACAATTACGTGGACCGGGGAAGATAGTGAAGATTGACGAGGCGAAGTTGGGGAAGCGGAAATACAACCGGGGTCGTCTTCTTCGCGGATAATGGGTCCCGACGGAATTGAACGGGGTGAACGCGGTCATCATCAATTACATCTATCAACCGATATGAGCCTATATAATATAGTGCTTTAGTTTTTACTGTTCTAATTACACGTTCAACAATGGACGCTTTTCTCACTGAGTAACTGCTATAGTGATTAATTTTATATTTTTCCATTAAAGATTAAAATTGATAATTGTAGTACTCNTTTTTTATTGAAAGTGACTAGACCCTGCACTATCCTCTGATTTACATCCCTACTACTCCTTCCGTCCTGACTTATCTAAATTCCTAGATACCTAAAATTCTCCTAATTTTTCGAATCCTATCATATTCGCTCTTTCCCTACTTTTCTTCTCTATGTCTCTATATCCCTGTCATTTGTTTCTCCCACCGCCTTTAGTATTTCGTCTGTCCTTGTACCTAGCCTATCACGCTTTTGTTACATTTTAGCCCTAAGTCAAGACGTTCCCTACCTTTCCTCTTTTTCAGAATTTTCAATTTAAGATTGGACTTCATAACCATTAAGTTATTATCGCTATCTATATCTGCTCCTTGATAACTCCTAAAGTCCTTCACTTGATTTTTAAATCTTTGCCTAACAAGTATTTAATCTAACTGATATTGCCCTAATTCACCTGGCAACTTCCACGTATAGCACCTCTTAACGTAATGTTTGAATAAAGTATTTGCGACGGTTAAGTTATGTTTATCGCAAAATTCTATCGGTGGTAGGTTAGAGGAGAAGGTCCAAATATGAGCACTGGTCCAATTATGGGCTACTCCTGAAATCTCTTCATGTATGCACCCCCGTCTAGCGTCAACACCGCTAACTATTTCGTCTATAAGTATTCTAACGTTAGTGTGCCTTGCAGCCATATTTGTTCACGTGTTTATTTTTAAAAGTGGAAAAAGTTGTTTTTTTGCAACATTGTTCAGTGCAAATATTTATCAGGTATGTAAAAAATTGATTTTTACTTAATCGGTACATATTGAAATAGAATTTGAATTAACATGACGTCTAATTGAAGTACTAATTGTTGTGTTTTCATGGTATTTTGCTTACTTTTTAGGTTTTTAGAGTTTATGTTTTTATTTATTTGTCAAATTGCCGGTGGTCTAAATATGAGCTATAGTAATCGGTCTAAATATGAGCTATAGCTCATATTTAGACCAAAACTTTACGATCTGCTAAACTATATGTTTTTCATTTTAGAATGCCGAGAAAAACACCAAAATATGTTCCTCAAGGAAAAAGACAGTTTTGGAACCCGGAAGATATGGAAAAAGCTGTGACAGCGGTAAGAGAAAACAAAATGGGCACTTTAAAAGCGGCAAAGACTTTCCACGTACCTCGTAGCACAGTTCAACGGCTGTCTAAAAAGGAAAATCTATCTCCTGCTCAAGTAGCACGCTCAAAATTAGGTAGAAAAACGTTTCTGCCAGATAAAATGGAGGAAGAACTTGTTACGTACCTTTTAGTTATGGAACAGAAATTTTTTGGATGCACTATTCAGGACTTGAGGCGGGTGGCATTTCAACTCGCTCAACGCAATAACATTCAAACTCCTTTTAAATCTAATGAGGCTGGAAGAGCATGGACTGATCTTTTTCTAAACCGCCATAAAGATCGCTTATCTATCCGTAAACCATGTGGAACTTCTTATGCGAGAGCTCTTGGTTTTAATAAAGAAAACGTAAAAAAGTATTTTGATTTGCTTGAAACAGCTTACGAAAAGCATAATTTTACTGCCAATCGCGTCTATAACGTCCATGAAACAGGCCTGTCAATAGTTCAAAGCAAGATACCGCATGTGATCGGACGAAAAGGAAAGCGGCAAATAGCAGCAATAACATCCGCTGAAAGAGGTTCAACGATTACAATCATTGCCTGTATGAGTGCTGGTGGCGATTATGTACCACCCTTAATTATTTTTCCTCGAACCAACATGACGCAAACTTTAATGAAAGGAAGTCCTCCAGGTTCTATTGGCCGTGCTCATCCCTCTGGTTGGGTTCAAAGCAATATTTTTACAGAGTGGTTTTCTCATTTCATAAGCCATACGAAACCAACTAAAGAGTCACCAGTTTTGCTTGGTTTGGACGGTCATTACAGTCATGTTAGAAACATAGATGTTATTAATTTGGCTAGAGAAAACCATGTCACCATTGTTTGCTTTCCTCCTCACTCAACACATAAATTACAGCCTTTGGACAAAACATTCATGGGACCTCTCAAAGAATACTACAGCGAGGAAGTAAGGCAGTGGCTTCGACACTCTGGCCGGCCATTAACTCCTTACGACATAATGGAGTTATTTGGCAAAGCTTATTTGAAAGTTCAAACAGGAGAAATAGCTGTCAATGGGTTCAGGGCTACGGGATTGTATCCTTTGAATGTAAACCTTTTTTCAGACATTGATTTTGTAAGTTCTTCGGTGGATGCAGAAAAAACCTGCAGCACAGCAGCCTATGTTGATCAGACACCACCGGCCAGTATCTTATGCACAAGTGTAAGGGCTAGTACTTCGTATGATGTGAGCCCTTTTGATTTATCGGCGTTGCCAGCTATTAAGAAAAAAATCGGTAATCGTGGCCGCAAAGCAGCAGGAACAGCTATCATCACCAGTTCACCTTATAGAAATGAGTTAAACGTATCAATTTCATCATTCAATGCAAAAAAACCAAAACTCAAACGAAAAAAAAATGTTGCTCAGAAACAAGCAAAAAAGAAACGCTTCCCAAAAAAACAGCTGCCACGAAGTCGTAAAGACTGTTCGAGCTCAGATTCAGAAGACGAAACTGCTATTGTGCCACTCGTAAATGACGATGATGACAGCGACGTTGACTTTGAAGAACAACCTGACACTGAAGATGCAGAGTGTCTATTTTGCAGCAGACTTTATTCTGAAGATACCCAAGGAGAGGTTTGGGTAAAGTGTTTTCAGTGTTTATTATGGGCACACAGTGAATGTGCAGGTGCAGAAAAAGAAGTCTACATATGCGATTTTTGTAAATAAATTTTTCCATGATTAAATTTGTCTTCAATAATTTAGTTTCTGAAAGATAAAATTTTAGAAATAAGCTAGCTCATATTTGGACCTTAAGTAATAATTTGGTAATTTTGTAGATTTCATTATGTGTAAAAAGTAAAAAAGCTGTTTTGTTTAATTTCATGTTAATCACATCAAATCAATAAAAATGTATCATTTTACAATATTTTTGGGATATAATGTAAAATATTATTTTTATTTTCCAAAATTTTTGAGAAAATAAAAGACGTAGCCCATATTTAGACCTTCTCCTCTAATAATACATTAATTTTCTCGCTTGGCCCACCTTTGATATCTCCATGCCATTTTGAAATGCGTTTAAAATTGCCACCTAAATAAACGTTTTAAGTTTTTACAAATATCATTTGTTTAAATGTCTCCGTGTGTTGACCAGTGCAAACTTTGTGTTCATGGTAAATTAATTTTCTCGCTTGGCCCACCGTTGATGTCTCCATGCCAATTTGCAGTGCATTTAAAATTACTACCTAACGAAAGTTTTGAAGTTATTACAAGTTATCATTTGTTTAANAGTAACAAAACTTTGGAGTCCTCTGCAAAGGGTCTAGGATGTTGGAAAGCTACTTTTACACCTGATGTGGAAAGAAAATTAGTTGAGCATTTGAAATTACTTGAATCTCGTTTGTTTGGACTGACGCGAACGTCTTTTCAAGAATTAGCTTTTGAGTTGGCTGAAAAAAACGGTTTTGCACACAAATTTAACCCGCAAAAACAAAAAGCTGGACAAGAATGGTTAGAAGGGTTTTTGAGACGAAATAAAGATATTTCTTTACGCAAACCAGAAGCTACTTCAGCTGTTCGTGCTCAGGCTTTTAATCGACCTCAAGTCAATAAGTTTTTTGAGATTTACGGACATCTGCTGGAATCTGAGAACATTGGGCCACACAGAATTTATAATACTGACGAATCAAGCCTGTCTACTGTACAAAAACCCCAGAAGATATTGGCTACTACTGGTAGGAAGCAAGTTGGCGTAATAACTAGCGCAGAACGTGGAACTAACACCACTGTTGTTTGTTGTATTAATGCTAGTAGTATAGCTATGTCGGAGCTGCGACAGTGGATGGCACGTCCATCCAGTTCTTACCATTGTTTCGTGTGAAGAGATGGCGGCGGGCGCTGAAGAAGTCTTTCAAGGTCATTCTTCGGCGCGTGNTTTTGTTTAATTTCATGTTAATCACATCAAATCAATAAAAATGTATCATTTTACAATATTTTTGGGATATAATGTAAAATATTATTTTTATTTTCCAAAATTTTTGAGAAAATAAAAGACGTAGCCCATATTTAGACCTTCTCCTCTAATAATACATTAATTTTCTCGCTTGGCCCACCTTTGATATCTCCATGCCATTTTGAAATGCGTTTAAAATTGCCACCTAAATAAACGTTTTAAGTTTTTACAAATATCATTTGTTTAAATGTCTCCGTGTGTTGACCAGTGCAAACTTTGTGTTCATGGTAAATTAATTTTCTCGCTTGGCCCACCGTTGATGTCTCCATGCCAATTTGCAGTGCATTTAAAATTACTACCTAACGAAAGTTTTGAAGTTATTACAAGTTATCATTTGTTTAAATGTCCCCGTTTGTCGGCCAATGCAAACGTTTTGTTTATCATAAATTAATTTTCTCGCTTGACCCACTATTGATGTCTCCATGCCATTTGGTAGTATATTTAAAATTACCACCAAACTAAAGGTTTGAAGTTATTACATATTGTAATAGAAGGAAATAAAAAAGCGTATGGTTTCAAAAATTAATCTGAGAAACTAATTAAATCCGAAATACCTTTCTTCTGTGTCGGGATTTAAAACTGATAAAGAACTTTTTGTAGTATAGAACGCTTTTTACATTTCTAACTGCACTGATTCACTCACTACGGCTAACTACTTTACCTACCTTACATATCAATGTTAAGTGCGTCCAAATCATTCGCGTCGGCACGTTCAATGGCACTGCAAATTCTCATCATTCGGTTGTTAAGTTATTTTTAGGTGGTAGGTAGATGGTAAATTAACGTTTTGAAATATTGTACCTAAAAACTGTACCTTACCCTAAACATATGACCTGGGCAATACGCAGGATCTAATACTGCTTAAATTTCACCAAACAATTCTAAAAGAATAAGGCTGGCTATAAAACAGTTTTGATTTAACTAATTCTGTCCTGATTCATGTCTAAGCCTTTACCAATCTATTAGCCTTGATTTATTTCTTTTATACCTATGTATTTATTTGCAGTACACTTTTTTCTCTGGCTTAATCATCGAGCGAATTGCGACATTTCATCATCATCAACAGTAGTAAAGAAGTAATACATAGTCTCGTTTAAAATAATTTTCTGAAAATTATCTTCTGAGCGAGGCTCTTCTCTGAGAAGAAATTTTTCTGGCGCTTTTCTCCTATTTTTTTTTTGACATTTTTTTTCTTAGATTCAGATGGCATACGGACCGTCCATAAAATACGACTCTCAAAATTTTATCTTTTCGGTCTCATCCCCCCCTCTTTGTTACGCTAAATCACTCTTTCAGCGATCCCCTTAACAAATATTACGTCACAAAAGCTACCCCCTTTATAAACGATTTTTAGTGATTAAAATTCTTCACGATTTTCCTTTTACGAGAGGTAGTAGAAGATGATCAGGACGCACAAACACATTGTATGTTTATTTACAGGCTTTAATTTACTACTTGAAAATTACTTTCTATGAAAATGAAAAATTTTAACTACCTACCAACCAAGTTAAGAAAAAATGATCGAATGCAGCATAGCTACGTCCTATTTCTCTGCGTAATCCTATAAGGGCCGGACTGGCTTTTGCTTAAACTTTCAAATACGTTTTCCTCGAAGATGGTGAACTTTTGGACCACCAAAGATTTTCTTAATTTTTTTATCTTATTGGGATCCGTCAAATGGGCATACACCATCTGGTGGCAAAATTTATAACTCGAATGAGGGAAAAATTTGCATAGGAACTGTGCACGCAAATTGTAAAATTGTTTATAAAATAATAAAACACGTTAAAAAAGTAAAAATTTTTTTGATGATGCAGTCGACGAAGTTTTCTTCTAAAGTTAAATCAAATAAAAAGTTAATATGTTCAGTGAAAAGCTGCAAAAGCACTTCAGACATAGATCTTCACTCTTCACCTACATTAACTACGTTCCAATAAAAACTAACCGTTTTATATATGTAAAAAATATATTCGGAAAATTAGAGAAAAAAGTAAACTAATAGAAGCTTGGATGAAAGCAGTAGGTATCAAAGAAGTGAATTCCGAAATAAAAATTTGTTCACGTCATTTTAATGCACATGATTATATTTCAGCAAGTATTTACCATCAGCCATAACCTTAATATTTAAAACTAGAATCATACTAAAATTATAAAGTGAGAATTTATTTATTCCTGTGTAATTGATTTAACACAATTCCAATGATACGATATAAGTATTTTGAGGTTAAGAACCTACCTGCTGCAATACAACAAAGTTGCAATAATGTGTTTGCAACGTTCTCTTAAATCGGCTTTGCACGTGCAAGTCATTGATATGATATTGCTTAAATCACTCAGAATCACCCCACCAATTATATAACGTGAATCACTTTTTAAATCCGAAGTTTGTAAAAAGTAGACAGTAAACTTGACGGAATTTAAAGGCTAGCTTCCGGATTTGTGATTTCCGAAGTTTATAATGTGATTGGCATTAAAGACACGCTCACCTTCAACGAAATTTCCTTTCCGAGGCTTTGTGTCAGCCCAATCACATATTGTGTCAATACTTATCTTTTTATCGTAATTTAAAAACTTGGAAATTGCACGGTACACTATAGGAACTACGATAAATTTTCCCTAATCGGCGCCATGTTTTTAGGCTCCTCCCGTTTGACGGATCCCAATAATGCCTTATTATCTCCGGAAAACCTGCTACTTATTTTAGAAACACCCTGTACTGTTTTAACTTTGTTGTTGGTTGAAATAACGTTCACAGGTTGGCGAACACCCACAGCCAGTCAATATGTTCCAATAATAATCTGAAGATACTCCTACGGATGTGACACTCATTATCTTCGCAACTTTTCACAGCATCGTTATCTGCCCGTAGTACAACGTGAGAAATAATTAAACAGTTTGTCATAATAAAACAAAGCTGCGGTGTCACCACGCTACTTGTTGTATACCCGCCTCCTTCACCAAGAAAAGCAAGTTAGTGTATTACCTGTCCCTTGCCAACTGCGACCAGATACGCATCTGCTATTTTTAAGTCACAGTTCACTTTATCTTTCATTATGTATTCGCTTGATGACGCGATAATTGGATACAAGAATTGATCTCGAAGAATCAATAGTAATATCAAACTAATAATTTAGTTAGGCACAATAAAATTATGAACGTAGATTACCTACACGTTTTCAATTAGGTTTCATAGATGTAAACTCCTATAGTATAGAGTAGGTACTACCACACGCCAAAATGTACAGCCCTTTTACTTTTGGTTAATATTTTTTTATTGTTTTGTATTATTTAGTGTCTACTAAATGTAACCCTCACTCGTGTTTTTAGACCTTAGATATTTTATAAGTGCCGCTTATACATTTTACCTTACTTATATACCTCTTTCCCAATTTCTTAAAATAAATCAACTCCATTTTATTAACGTATGTATCGAAGGATTTTCATTTTTTTTTTGCGCAATTTTGTTCGGAAGATTATCCTGAACTCAGCGGTAACCCGATCGGGTATTGTTTAAATCACGATTGCTTAAACAAATGACAAAAAAAACTTTTTTTACTGGAACCAGTTTTTATATTCTTTAATTTAATCTCGATATATACGCCTGAGGTTTTTTTCTTTTATAAAGGTAGAATTTTCCGAGTTATGAACTTTTGTGTCTGAATATACATGAAAATCGCTATATTCTATGCTTCAAAAAGTTATTATGGGTTTTTAGAAGATATTATTTTATATATTTAAGCAACTATATTTAATAAATTGCACCAAAAAAGAAATTCTTTTTCTTTCAGAAAATAGCTTTTTAAAATGTTTGACCATCTTGTTTCATCCCTAAAAAGTATATTAGAAAATGATTCAACCCATTTTTTTAAATTATTAGAATGATTTGCAGTGGGCGAATGTGTAGACGTAAATGCTGTAGTTTTGTTTTATAAGGACGATTTTGATAGTCAGATTTATGAATGACGGGGACAAAGACAAAATGAACAAATAAACAGCCTAAAGAAAGTTGTGGATTTTTTAAAAAAATACGAACAAATTAGAAGGCTTATATCAGAATTCGTTCATTCGCTCATCTTGTTCGAATGAAATGAGTTTTTCTACTCTGCATAGCTTAAAAACATATTTAAGGATGACATATCACAAGATCAGCTGAATAACATTTTTTGCGTTAGGCAATTGAGTGAGCTTTCTGTAACTGATATTATGTAATAATCGTTTTAACAATATTATTAGTTTAATAAAGCTTAATTTCACGATAAATTTTCCACATTACTTACTGAGTTTGATTATTTACAGGAACTTTAGATTGATTTGTGTTTCCATCTGTGCCGCTAAATGATCAATTACGTTTCTCCGACTAATGACTGAATGATTGAAGATGTTCACGTATAGAACAGAAGAGCGTACTTTTTTATCTTTTCTTTTGCATGTTTCGCATCTATCATAACACACTCTTTTATTCATAGACTCTTCAGAAACAATAACGTCACAACTGCAAACCATTTGCATGTGGTAGTAGCGTCGAGTCTTCCATTGTGCACTATTATTGTTGCTATTCGTAGATGTGGCGATGTATAAGATCATCATAATCATAAGGTCGTCAGTCCTAAGACTGGTTGGACACGTACCTCCACTCTTTCCTATCCTGAGCTAAACTTCGCATTTCCCTAAAACTAGAACAACCCACTTCTTTAACTATTTGCGAACAGTAATCTAATCTAGGTCCACCTCCACCCCTCTTAACTCCTGTTTCTGCCTCTAATATGTCTCTGACTAGACCTTCATGCCTGAGAAGATGTCCTACCAGCCTATGTCGCCTATTTTTTATTGACTTCCATAGAGTCCTCTGTTCTCCTATTCCTTCTAATACCTCTTCATTTCTAACCTTTTCTACCAACGTTATCCTCATCATTCGCCTATAACACCACATTTCGAACGCCTCTAACCTTTCTTTTTCCGCCGCGCCCACTACCCATGTTTCGCACCCGTACAACGCCGTGCTCCAAACATGCACCTTTAACAACCTAATTAATTATTTCGACCAGTTTTTTTGAAAAATGTTTGGAATTTGCTTTAATGTCCGAAATTTCTCCTGTTTGGGTTTGTGCCACTAAACACCCGTTTGGAATAAGTTAGAATGCATTAAAACGTTATTAAATGTTCCTAACATTGTCCTTGGCTAGAATGATCTGGAGCGAACTAGTTAGAATTTATTAGAATGAACCGGACCTGAAAAGTAGAGAATGTTCTAGAATGCTCGAGAATTATGTATGAGAGGTGGAATTATAATTTGACTAACATTCTAAAATTTGAAATCTATATTGTTCACGATTTGCTCAGTGTGATGTGTGTATTGGTTTGAAGGTCAACCATTGGCCATCAAACATCCATGTGAAGTGAGTAGTCGTTAACTAATAATTCATATAAAATTCATTAAATGTAACGTAAATAATTAAAAACAAATCGAATACAATAATTTTATTTTACACAAAAATTTGTTTCAAAAACATTTCATAAGAATTATTAACAATCATCTATTTGGCCCTTTTCTGTAACTCCTCCAGAGGAGCAATGTGCAATGTACTTTCTCCATCATTATGTAGCATTACTCCTACTTCTTGCAGTACTTCTGAATCCACAACTCCTTGTTTATTTAAAGAAGCGATTATCTTTTGATTTTCGAGATTATTTTCACACAAATTGTGAATTGCAAATATAACCCATTGAATTATAACTAAATATGTTAAAGAAAATAGCAAAAATAAAACTTATGAAGCTAATTACGATATAAAGTGGATAAATAAACGCGACAATTTGTTTTTTTTTAAGATTATGTACAAAAGAATGTTTAAAATATTTAAAAAGTCAAAAGTTGCATAGTATTTAAATTTTCTTTTGCATGCCTCTATTTTTACAACTCTTAAAGATGACACGGACGAAATGAAGACAGAAGAGTGAAAGATTTATTTATAGAATATTAATTACCACCCCCTGCATTTGCCTAAGTAATCCAAGGAAATCACCGAAAAGCTTGAACCAGGTCAGACGGATCTGGAATCGAATCGGTGTCTTCCCGAATGCTAGTCAGTTTGGTGCTCGTTGACGAACTTCTTAAATTGGTTCTCAGAGTAGCGTTAAATCGTTCAATCGATCATCAGACTGCGAATGTAAGGACATAGTCCTCGTTTTTGTAATGTCCATTAGTTCAGTGACCTTCTTGAACAAAGCCGACACGAAGTTCCTGCCTTGGTTGGAATGTAATTCCAGTGGTACTCCATATCGGCTAATCCTGTCATTGACAAGCTTTTCGGCAACTTCTCATCTTCTGACTTCTGAAACTTTGTTCTTGGGAAGTACCATCAGAAGTTTGTTTTTGGTTGCAACTGGACTCTCCTACATTCTTCTTAAAGCGCCCTGGTCCAAAGTAAGGGATATCCACCAAAATCATCATGATTCGTCTGTTCTTCGATTAATTCTATACTTTTCTAGGATCCCTCAGGCTGAACGGTGATTAGATTACAACAGATTGATGCCAGTTTTTTTTTCTTTTCCGCTGATGAACAACGTTTACAGTTTTTCACGCATGATCTCCAAGATAGTGCATCTACCTTACCGTATTATTTACCTGTTGTGCAATTTGCCCTTCTCGATTCTTGAATTGCGGTACCCAATTTATTTTTCCTTTCCGTCTTGAACTTGGGATAACTCACTACCAAGTCCTACATTAGTAGCGTCGGCATCAACGGTGAAGGATTGGCTGAGCTGTGGGGATGTTAAAATTGGAGCTCCAGAAAATGTAATCTTCAAGTTGTCAAATACTTTTTGGTATTCGGGAATTAGAATGAAACTCCATCTTCTGTAAATCTGTGTAGTAGTCGGGTTATATATCCCCTTATGAATCTTCAATAGTAGGAGTAAAGTTCCAGAAGTTCATAACGATGTTTTGGTGGACCAAGTTCGTACGGCATCTGTTTTGTCGGGGTCGGTCTTGATTCCTTTCGGTGTTATGACATAGCCTAGCTACTTCACTTCTCTATTGAACAGGATGCATTTTTCGGTACTTAACTTCAATTTTGAGACTGTTAATTTCTTGAAGACTTTAGTCAGGTTTCAGAAGTGGTCGTCGAATGTTCTTGTTAGTATGATGATGTCGCCTAAGTAAACCAAACAGATTTTCCAGTTTAGTCCTTGCAATAGTGTCCATGAATTTTTCGAATATAGCAGCTGCATTGCATAATCCAATAGGCAGTATATTGAGCAATCTTCTCCATATCCTACAAATGCCCATCCACTTACCAGTATCCACTTTTCAAATCGAAAGTAGAGAACTATTTAACTCCAGCTAGACTGTCTAGTGTTGTCGATTCGGAGTAATAGGTAACTGTCCTTCGTTACATCGTTCAGCTTCCTCTAGTGCTTCCATTTTCTGTTTCATTTCTTCTTGTTCTACTTCTTGACCATTTTCCATTTTTATCATTTCTACCATCATTGCCATTAAAGCCATTATTTGTTGCTCTATTTTGCTTTGGTACCTGTGGTTGTAAGAAGCACGAAATATTTCAATTTCTTGTAGAAATTTCTGTGAAATTCTTCGAATTTGGAAAAATCATTCTTCTTTCTTCGCTAGCTTTCGAATAATGTATGACTTATTGGATGAAATTTTGACGTTAGATTCGTTCTTCTCTCTTTTCAACAATATATGATTTATTGAGATTATTTGGGAAAATACTTCCTCCCTCTTCTTCAATCATCTTCAACCACACCTGACACCAAACGTTGCGTGATCAAACACCTTTCTCACTATTGACTTATTATTTACTCTCTGATTAACACCACTATAATTAATTAGTTTCTATTTCACTACCATATCATACACTTATCACTTCTTCGCTCTTATAATTTTGCTTTATATCGCCTCGTTGCTAAAACTCGAAGTAACTCTTTCGACCTCACGGCAGCTATTTATAGGGGTTGGACGTGTTCTAAAAAGATCCAGAATGTGACATCTAGAAAAACCGGTCTTCTTTGTTACTGTGTATGTTGGGTTGCCTACAGGTGACAGTATATTTAGTTTATGAAGGTCAAACATTTAGGATATGAAGGCCTAATATCCGTCATCGCGGTACAAAAACGTTGCGCACACACAGTCTACCTACCACTGCTGTAACGGCCTTACGAAAATAACAGTCTAAATTTATTACAGAAAACTACATGAATTTTCTATTTACAAAATTGACGACTCAGTCAACACCAAGAAATGAGAAGCTACAATTTCATAAAAGCAGCCTAAATCGCTGTTGTAATACGTATTTTTTAAGGACTTCGCAATCGATTTATTTGAATTGACAATGATAAACGTATGAAAAGATGTTACCACAATTTTTTTGAAACAGGGTATTTACAGTTAATAACACGTTTTTAGCAGTTTTTAGTTATATCATGACACTAACCGAAGTCTAAAGTATACAAGAATAGAAAATTAAAATTCTAACAAAATTGAACAAAGAAACTTGACGGTAGTCCTTTGAGAGGCTAACTTGATAAATATAAATAGAAACGAGGGTATAGGGGATCAACTGAAATTTTTATGTCACTATTTGTTACTCTTGATTTTCTACACCAACTAGGTGAAATTTATAAAGAAATTTTGTAAACATTTCTTTTTGAAGTGAAACTTCTTTACGGTAGGGTAAGTAGGGTAACGAAATCATGGAACGGATGTCCCCACCTCTACTCGGCCACGTAGTCGAGTTCGTAGTGAAGATCGCTTGAGCCGTGAGCGCGCTTCAATGCAACGTTCGTTACAGGCAACTCCGGCATGTATATGTGTTTGCGTACGTGTGCCTACACTCTACAGTCGAAACGACGTCACTGACGCCAATTCCTTAACCCCTATCTCGGTATGCTTGTGTGTTTGAAGAAGTTCTACTTTAGTGGCGTGTTGTATAATTACACGTTGTATTTCTTTATTATTGTATTGAATATCGCATGCAAGCCGAAAAAAATATAAACTGAACTGGTTCAAAAGAAGATTCTATTATTACATGATTTACGATTAGTAAATTTTAGGGCACAATGTTTAATGAACTAAAAGTGCATAACACTGACGATAAGAGCAAAAGATTAGGCCGCGGTTTGATAAACATACGCCAGTCATATAGTTCAGTTTTCCTATTAATCTACGGTACAGTCATTTTTTCACCGAGCGACATGCCCTATAGGTTTAGACTATTACTTAGCATTCAGGAGGACGCCGGTTCGATCCCGGGTCCGTTTGTCTTGGTTTCTGTGGATTCCTTGGATCACTAAGGCAAATGCTGTAATATTCCACAGATAATCTTTCATTCTCTTCTGTCTTCATTTCATCCGTCTCATCTTTCTCACCCAAATCACCCCCCCACCCATTCCCACGATTCCCGAAAGGAGGCTGAACAGGGTCTTCCGCCCTACCTTGGCTTAGTCAGGAGAGACTGCCCGCCCACCAGCATTATAGGCTGGTGGGAATGAAACACCCAAGCTTTTTTTTATTTTCTCCAAATTGCTAACCTCGAAACTTCATGAGTGGCTTCACTTTAATGTAAATTACAACTATTTTACCTTAATTAATAACGAGTTAATGGTATTCTTGACGACGATAGGCGTCATTTGTAAGATCCGCCCTCATTACGGACGCAAAATAACACATTTCCAAGTACAGCGAGCATAGGCAAATGTGGCATCCTTCTAGTTTAGTTTGATAAAAATTAATAAAAAGGTTGACATACAAAAATTTTGGTCCGCGTAGCATGGCATCGGAGTGGATAAACATTATTTTTCCAAGATAAACTTGGAGGGGGAAAAGAATATGAGTCGGAGAAATGAGGAATACATTGGAAAACACTAAAAAACAACTTGGTTGGAGGGAGTGGAGGTCAAAATTCTGACGGGATATGGCTAGTTCTATTTATCAAAAGAAGTACTTTGATCGTAATTGATTACTTTGTATTAATAGTTTCTAGTACAGTCAAATAAGACGAAAAAAGGGCCAAACCTCGGAATGGAAGCGAATAACCTGTAAATTTGCATAAACCTATGTTTTGGTGTTCTAATGACTGGTAGAAAAGTCTCATACAATCACGTGTCTGTGTCACAAGTTATTCAAGGTTAAAGGTCACGAAAATTAGTTTTTCGCAATTATCTCGTTTTCTATGAGAAATACGCCAATTAATGTTATTATGAAATTTGTCGGTCATAAAATTGTCTACAATTTTTATTTCAAACATTTTTCTGTATCACCTACCGTTTCCGAGATATAGCGCGGAGAGCGGCGGGCGTGCATCCGTACATGGAGAAATAATGTGAAATACGATGCTAGTGAGTGGTATATTAAACGTTTTTGGGATACTAAGTGTGTAAGAGATCTGAAAATTTGGCAGTAGGGGTTTTCTTTTAACTAAAATAATTTCACCTGTCGGCCATTGCCGGTTATACCGGAAGTTGATGCCAACTTTGTTATTTTAAATAGAATGGTATTTTTTACGATAAATTCGAATGAAACAAAATTTTAAGGTAATTTTGATAACCAACTTATATACCTGCGATTAGTAGTTTTTGATATAATGGGCTTATTCCGAAAAATTTGTTTTTTTGGTTTTTATACGATTTTGTGTAGTACTCAATATTTTCATTAAGCCCTTAAAATTTGATATAAAAGGCTATTTTAGTTTTTGAGATATAAGAGATTGAAATTTGTAT